TCGATATAAAATAAACCTTATGAAATGCCTGAAGCGATTAAGGCAAATTGACTTGTAGGTCACTCATTCTCCAATAAATTAAGACCTGACTGTTAAGCTTAATCGTTGGGGATCGTATCAGTTTTCTATTATTCCTCATAATTTTGAATTAAGTGAATAGTTTGTTATGGATTCCCGTTCACTGATTTGTCACAATTCATTTGTAATTGAGATTGTGTTATTTATGTTTAATAATAAAGAATTGTGGTAAGATTATTTTTGTTAGATTATTGAAATGTTTGACACTAACCATTATTTATATTATATTACATTTAATAGTTGAGATCATGAGTCAATTGAAGCTGGACCACCATGAAAAACTTGGAAGCACTGGACTGCCGCTTCATCCTATTGTGGGACTCCTCAGCAGTGCGCATCCATGCTCCAGCCCCTCAGGACTCATACTCATGATCTCAACTATTAAATTACTATAATATCTGCAAAACCGCTTTCTGGTATTATACTACATTGTGAAACAAGTTATAACATGATAATATTTGCAAAACATGAAACAATTAACATATTTACTTAGAATAATTAAAAAATAGTAATAGGCGTTTAGTTCATTGTTGTTCAATGAAAATAAGTACACAAAACTTTCTTAACTGGTTACAAATAAAAATAACGTTAATGAATAGAAAGAAATTTCTTCTCAGTTTATGAGATATCTATCACTATAAGTCATAAGCTTTATAAGCAAAGATAGATAGTGATTAGCAGTGGGATCCAGGATGCGCGTTTCGTCCTATTTGAGACTCGTCAGATGGATGTACCTGCATCTCAGAGTTCATGTTCACTCTGAGACTCAAACCTTGTAGCACTCGCTTCAAACGCCATCGTGTTATCCACTTAGCTACTGAATTCTGATAGCTACCTGATTGTGCAATGGGGTGAAGTTTAAATTCACTAGATATTGTTTACTTGAATCTTCCCATTGATGTTTAGAACTGTAATTGATCAGTCTCTTATTGGCATATGTGCATACTGCCTCGATATAACCTTAATTCACAAGCATTATATGCAAAGATAGATAGTGGCTGTCAGTGGAATCCAGGACGCGCGTTCATCCTATTCGAGACTCGTCAGCTGGATGTACCTGCATCTCAGAGTTGATGTTCACTCAGTCTTATAAGAAATAATCGAAAATATGCTTTCTGAAAGTGTATAAAAAAATACCGAAAATATAGTTTTGATAATTATAAACACTAAAGCAACATTTCACATCAATATTTCTTTCTCTAAACCATAGTGCTAAAATTCTTCACATAAATTTCGAATTAATTTCAAATTCTCAATTGAATTAGAATATTATGAAACTGTAAATTCAATTACATAGTGTAATCAATTGAATTCAAGGAATAAACATTGATAAAAATGAGAAATATCAACTAACAGACTGATTTATTTACACAAAATAGTTATTTCATATTGATTGTGTGGTAGTCTACCATCATTAGCTATATATGAAGTAAGTGTAAATGCTTTGTCATGAATCTCTTATTTTGTGCTTATTAGAGACAGCTCAATTAGTTTTTAGCAACTTTCTACACTTGTTATATAAATGAGATATTTGTCTGTCAATAAGGGTGCAGGTATCCTACACAAAAATCCTTTCAATTTTTTGATTAATAGTTATGAAGATAGAAGCTATGTGTAAGTTGGAAGCATTTGTTCATCTTTGGCCTCAAAGTGTTGCTCGAATATCGTGAAACAAACCAGTTAGTTGTGTTGAAATTTGATATAAAACACTAGATAAAGATATTGTATTGGTTAGTGAAGCTCTAAATCTTCATTGACTGAAGAAGTCGGGATATGTATTGGATATGCACAATCACCGCCTAATGTATCTCTTAATTTTCGATTTGATAGGAGTGGAAAAAAACAACACCGAAGTTTAGATATTATAAACAATAGTCAATAAAACAAGTACATCTAATTTTTTTGCTCATACATTGTTCTCTTTTCCAACAATGCCTAACGTATGAGGGCCAGATCCCCGAAACTCCGGCACAATCAAACAAGTCCTAATAATTTCATTAGATCAACTTCGATAACACTATATGTCTAGGTAAAATTTATGAGATAACTGGAAACTCCATCTTATAATTTCACTCACTGACTTATAAGGTATAATTAAAATCAACTAAGGACAGAAATAAAAGGCAAATAGCTAATGAGTCAAAATGCTATAAATATCGTATTACAATCACAGATTGTGTATCATTACACTAATAAATCAATACATTTCTCAAGCTATAACATGTTGCAAACCAGTTCGCTATCTGTTACTGAAGTTCAAATATGATGCAATTGGGTTAGTAGTGAAATGTAAAATGAGAATATTTCTCAGAAAACATGTACTTCAGTAGAGTCATATATTTTATTTCACTATGGCTCTCTCCTAAAGGTAAAAAAGAACAGAGAGTATGTTTGCATTTACCTTTTATGTGTACCTAACAATCCAATTGTTTCAGAGAAACATAATCAGGCACATCCACAGCTGAGTACCACCTTCTTTAGGTTCAGATAAAGGACAAATAAAAACTTCGTACTCATCAAATTGATAAACGCAGAAAATCAGGTTAAATTGAATAAAATCTTTCGAACGACTTCTTGTATTCCATATGGTTTATTAGTAAGTCTACATACGGCCGAAGTCATCCGTATCCACCTAAAAAGCCTGATCTTTATCTATTAAGTAACTTTGTGCAAACTTTTTTATTAACTTGAAGTCGAAGAAGTAACAGGGATTTACAAATGACTTGTGACCTCTCATTTTCATGATGTACATTTCATCCCTCTCTGCATAAAAATTGCTGATACTCTAGATGGTGGTTGGAGGTAAACAGGAAACCCTGGACCCGGGTTTCGTGCTATTTGGCACTCGTCAGCAAGGTGTACCTGTAATCTTGAGGGGACTGGTGCTCCCTAACGGATTCGACCCCGTGTCACCCAGCTTCATAGTCAGAGACGATACCACTGGGCCATCCGGGCCGCGAACGACCTTTGGTGGGACTGAAATGTAATTACGATTGATTGATCACTAGGTGGTGACAAATGTCATGTATGTCAAGTCCTTCTTCATCATCAATATCACATCCATACGCGGTTCGTAAAGAAAAGAGAATTGAACAAGTTCTTTATTCAGTTCAGACACATTAGCAATAAATTTCGCTGTTATTTTTTCACCTACTAATAAGTAATTTAAATGTGTCTAGACGATAATTTATGGACGAATCGATCAGATTTAGGGCAGAAGGTATTGGATTTTGGTACAAAATTCTTTCATCTATATAGCTAAATAGCACTTGACATTATAGGTGATGTCAGTTCGCGATGAAAACCTTAGCGCCCAACTGTGAATCCTAATCCTGACTCATCAAACTAATTTACAATCAGCATTTAATCCTAGTATTAAGGTGAATTTTCTCAAGGTCGGTCCAGCGTAGCACAAAGGTCATCCGTAAATCATAATCTCACCGAGAAAATCTAGTAAGTAAATTCATCATGCTAATTCAAACCTAGGGAGCAAGTATGGCAGTGAAGTAGTTTTCTTCCTCAAGATTTTATTCTTCATTAGCCATGAATTCATTGGAAATTACCAATGTAATTAACTAGTTTGATTATGTTATTAGTATGTACGTGTATGTGTAGAATACGTGAAGTACAATTTAGACTCAGTGGTTAAGGCGTTCGACTCTTAGCCACTAATTCTTTGGCTCTAATCCTGCACCACGTACCTCAGTTTCGTCAGCAAGGTAGTCCCCATACTTAGAGTGTGGTTCATATCTAAGTACCTAGTTTATAAGTGAATTTTAATTAAATTTTGAAATGAGTTGATACATAGAATCATCGACTGACTTGAATATTTAAGACGCATAGGCAACTTATTTTATCCATCAATAAAAAATTGCACTTCATGAATACTAATCATTGTAAAAGTGCATACTAACAACATAAATAGACTTATTCAGCACATTACTCATATCATTATTCTCATAAACCAATGCGATTTGAAGAATTGAGAAACAGAAGACCATCAATGGTGAAACGTCAAATAATGGAACTTACCAATGGAGCATAAAATTAACAACAATAATTTTATGAACAAACACATCCGGTTTAGAACTTTTAGTGAATTGCAAAACTGTATACTGATAATTATCATGCATTCACTAGTGACTGGTTTCAAGAGGTATTTCCTGGAGTTCTAGTGAGAAGCCGTGGTCAGTAGAGTTGGACCGTGTCTGTTGTGAGGCAGTTACTCACTGGAGACAATAGTGGACGGTCGCACAATATCGTGAATTGGTTGGAGTTAGACATTAACATCGCTGGATGCCAGTTTAGTGGTCTAGAGGTTAAACGTTCACTCACGAGACCGAAGGTCCTAGCCCGCGTGCTGGAATGTGGGTCCGCACTGCGGAGAATTCCCATACTAGAATGAAACGGCCGTTCAGTATTTCCAGGTTTTCAATAGTGATCTAACATTGATTCATTCATCATTATTATTTATTTAAGCACAAACATTGGTACAAGGAGGCACGAAATAGATATGCGATACATAAGTCCCATGGTATCCAGTGACCAATAATTGTTTCATCAAGAGAGCTGACTCTCCCCACTCTCGGCCATACCAGGGCAATTATAATTGTGGATACTTGAATACAATTGTAAACAACTGACAGAAGAGCTCATATTATGTGGCTGAGATTATTTCCACTAAATTACAATTTATAAGAGATCAGTTTAAATTGATCACTTAAACTTGTATACTGTCAATCAATACGACGTTTTTTTTTCAGAATCGGTATCACATCACATACCTTAGCTGATGTCAATCACGAAAAAAAATCAAAACTAATTTCCACGAAATCTCACGTTTAAAAATTATCCATTAGGTTGAAAGAACAAATATAGAAATGCTCCCTATTTTCCTTTTTTAAAAAAAAGTGTCAATGTTTCAATATAAATGCATTTTATTACATAAAACTATGCAAGTCAATTACAATCTGTAGAAAGAAACAGTGAAAGTAGGATTTCAGATACATTCAGGTCAGAGATAATAACTAAATTTACAGCGGTCCACTTGAATACCTGAGTTACTATGCTCTTTCTACCATTTATATATTTCAACAGTCTATCTTTTTTTCGATTATTTTAACAGCCATTAATAATAATAATAAGTATGCAACAAAACTTGGTCGAATAAATAATTGTCCTTTTTTAAAGTAAATACATATTGAGAGGGGGGGTATTTATTTATAAATGGGAAGTAGAGTGGTGTATACAGGTAGGGAATGATGAGGGGAAGAAAAATCAAACGAATGAAGTCATTATCAATTTAGTTTGTTTTTATTTTTGTTTTCGTACAAATACAAATCCTTCACGTTCAACATCTTTATTCATCATTGTCATCGGAGCTGGGCAAACCTGAATATTGAGAAAGAAAGAGTAGAACTTTTAAAAATTGTTTCATTTGCAAGATTTCATTGTTTTACAAAGCAAACATCGTAAATAACGAAAAATTGTAAACGAACAATCAATTGATTAATCTTTTTAAACAACTAGCTCTCATCGTTTTTTTTTAAAAAAAATTTTGTTGTTAATAGGTATTTAATCGAGATCGTCGTGATATGCAGTGTCCGAGAATTGACACCAATATACGAGCTCAACCGACTACTGGAGTGAAAAGATAATGAGGAAGGAATTTTATGATTAATCGAATTAGCATATATACATATGACATGTCTCTTGGGAAATTAAGTCGCTAATGGTGTTATGTCTCATTCCTTAGAAATAAAAAAAACTACTTAGTTAGTCACATGCACTTATCATCTGGCCAATGTACGACATTTGTCTCCTGAATATAGGTTTGACTTCTTGGAATCAGCCGAAGTTGGGATGGAGGTATTAAAGAGCAAATAGTTATTCATTAACAACAAAGTACTATCTGGCACAAATATGTTCGTTTTGATTGTTATACATTGGATAAACGTAATGAGGGGAAATTAGGAAGATGAAATTATGGAAGAGATGTTTAGAAATTACACTGTTGGAGATTTTTTAGAATTCTTTTTAAGCGAAGGTAGGCTTTTCTTTCAATTTGGATCACAGAATGTTAAGAGGATAGGAACCTAACAAAATAGAATGAATGGCCACGTTATACTGCCTAGATCGTTGTTCTTGCTTCTTTTCTAGTTAATAAAGGGAACTATGTATTTGAAGATAAAGGATAGAAGTGATGCCATAAATAGTAATTAAAAGTTAGTCAAAAAAAACGAATGGAAGTATGGAAATCACGTTTGAATTCGCAGCTCGATGGTTAAATCAGCTCACCAAGTCACTGATTGCTGAATTGAGTCATATTGGTTAATCCAGACTGTCTGGTTGATATCTAGGAAATAACAGAGAACAGTGATTGGAATCGTTGGTTGACAACTGAGAATCGGTTACAGTGCAGCAGATGCACTCATTTTATTGTCCTCTACATCTTATGTTGCAATATCTCTTCATACATACCTTTAAATTACTTTGTCGCCAGTCATAAAACTAGATAACCGAGTGAAAGTGTATGATTAAAACAACACGTAGATCCATCCTAACATATTTGATCAATAACCGTTATGTAGTAGATAGAAATATCATTTAGAGGAATTTATCATACATCGACTATCTTTCCTCAATGGGTCTGATCTCGCCTCTCACATATAGTAGAACCTATAGGGATTCGAACTAATGACTCAAATCTCTGTATTTATAAGAAATTTGTAACACCGTTATCTCTTTTTGACTAAATCAACTTTAACAAACGATTTTGCTGTTTATTATTTTCCATATCCTCAGTTCGTTTGTGTTTGTTCTCCACTCTTCAATATCCTTCAGTGTTTAATTATTTGAACATTTCATATTATAGAATATTGATGACGTTTTATCAATGTTTCATCTTACGAGTCGTTAACCTACTTCCTATTACGAAACATTGATTCAACCCTTTATTATTCATATCGCAACTAATACATCTATTGTTACACTATCAATCTATAAGTAATCTATTCCATTGTTATCATAGACTTATAAACTATCTTGATTGTTTTAATATCTTCATATATGCATTCAAATACTGCTGCATATAAGAGTAAAGTATGATCAGGATCTAACACAAAACAATACTGTTCTTCTTTATGTGTTATTCTCATTTGATACTCAATAATGATGTGATGTGATTTACCGAAATGGGTTAATGTTAGTCACAACTAACTAATTTGATGTTACATACTCTACTGGAAATTCATTATTTTATGATTGAGAATTAACCGCTTCATGTATATATATATTATATATATACATATTTCAATAAGTGTTATATAATGACTTTAAAATTTAATGTAAATCAAATAAGCTTAGATACCAAGGAAACCTGTAATGATCCAAATAAAATTTTAAAAAATGTACCGCAGTAACGAGCACAAATAGAATAAACATATCAGAATTATTTCCAGTCAGGTATTACTTTTCTCAATAGACATTTTTTTATAAATAAATCAGAATAATCCCCAGTTCACTGAAATGAAAGTTCTAAATATGTGAAATTATGTTTTGGCATACCCTATCGCTCTTTAGCCTTTGATCAGTCAATCAAAAACGTGTTTTCGAACGTCTAATGGAGAACCTACTTCCGGATGAATAAAAACAATAAGTTTCAATGAAATACCAGTTTAGAATTCTTGTTACCACAAGTCATGTCATCTTGCATGTCTATTTTAAACAGCGAAATTGAGATGATTGGTAGAGTTGGATTTCCAACAAAAAAGCAGTTTGTCACACAACTAACAGTTTATGGGAATGAAAATTCCCGTGATTTCATTATCGTTTGAAGGAAGATCAAACTAAAATTGTTTGCCCTTTATTATTGTCTGAAGCTGAGACCTTTGCCGTAATTTACTTCGTTTATGAAGCCTACGAGAGGAGAATAATTGCACAAGATATTTCTAATATGCATTGCACCGTATTTAAACAATCAAAACTTGCATGCATGTTTAACTGTTATCACTAAATTTACCTAATAAGTAGTTTTGGAACATTTACAGCACATATCGTCTAGGTCGGAGGCGAAGCACAGACGCAGCGTGACGTAGACGGTCAACTAGATTATTATTTCTTTTTACCACGAGATCAGAACGTGCCTTAACATTTTACGGACATTACAGGAATTGAAGATACTTGGATACATAATAAGGAAAGAACGCAATTCTACCAGTTAATGACAATGAATGCCTATACTGGCAGGCTAAGAATTCGTAACCAAGCAAATACCTGATGTAAATGGGAAGTTTTCATCTTTTTTGCACGATACTGTTTTGTCCGAGTTATCAGTCGAATGTTTTATCAGCGATGACAGCCTTCCCACGCACGATGACTTATCTACCGACTTCCCAGTAGCTCATCATATTTTGTGCAGAGTTCACATTATAAGCAACGATCTGCAGCGAATAAGCTAACTACATCATGTGGACATGATTTCTTCAGGATGTGCCAACCAATAAGTTTCACCTATTTCTGCAATTAATGTACACAAAAAATGCTGGGCGGTAAAAATGTATCAGGTGTACACTAATATCATTTTTACATCCCATTTGTGCATCAATGCCATTCAACAGGAAAATCCCTGTCGCTGAAGGAGGAAGAATAGATTCGAGCGTTTGAGCCACTCGCTCAACTTTTGCATACCAATATCAACGTTTTTGAAGCCATGTACGAGGTTAAAAAGATGCATATTTTAAATCGAAAGTGCCCTGTTCTATATTGTGTACCATATTTGTTTCTACAAAAATGCTACTGTTTGCACATATGGTATCAAAATGTAATCAAGAAAGGTTTCTAGTTGATAATTCGTAACACTCAGGATATTTTACACTTACGGAGTCGCATAAGTATGAGCGCTTGTCAATTTTTAAAAACTGACAATGATAATCGCAGACTAGTAAAGATACTAATTTAAAGTAACTTAAATAAAATGTAACTAGACGAAGATGTTTCATGAAGTCAGTATTCTTGATAAACTTTATAAAACAACAACAACAACAACGGATATTAGTGAAATATTTTCTTTGCTTATCTAATTCAGTGTGCATATACAGCATACAAAGTTGGATGAATTCACTACATTTGAGACTTGTCTGCTAAATGTAACTATATTCTAGTATTGTATATCGACTTGTGACAAAATGGCTACATCGAAACGATCCATTTACGATGTATATATGTCAGCAAAGACATATTAAAATCTAGTCTTGAATCTCAGCAAAGTGGATGATTCAAAACTCTCCAAACAAGATACAACTAAAGTTAAGAGATACAAATATTGAGATGGTGAAGATTTGTAGCTCAGGTGGATGATTTTGATGGAGTTTTGTTCTCTGAGCTGGATGGTTTGGTCGTGGAGCTTTCATCGTCCTTCTCAACGAAATCATCAGCACAAACTCCAAGTCTAGCTGAAGACTTCTACTTGAAATTTGTGTTAATGATGTCGTTCAGAAGAACGATGAAAGCTCCACAACCAAGCCATCCCGCTCAGAGAACAAAATTCCATCAGGAAACAGATACTTTCGGCAAAAAAAAAACTGAAGTTAAACAAAAGATGGGATTAAAATAATATTATTATTTTGTTTAAATACCGATTTGTAAAATGAAACATTTTCATCACTTCTAAAATAATATCTAATGTGAAATTACCTCACCCATGATATCGCTGCTTTCATCATCATCTGTAGCATACTCACTTTCCATTGCCCACAAAATTGGTGGTGAACGTGATTTTTCAACTATTTCTTGTTGAGTTATAAATGGATAATCTGTGTCAGTAAATTCTGAGAAATTATCATTATTATTATGATTATTATGGGATTTGCTATGTCTAGTAGTGTTTTTTGTTGCAATTTCATGCTCACCAAGAGCTTCAGAAAACAAACGATCCAATTCCTCAGAACTAATATCGGAAACTTAAGAAAAAAGCAGAGAAAATCATTGTATAAGTAACATTGTGAAGTAAGGGGAAAAGAAAATTTGGTTTTTAATTTCTTCTGATTATTTCATGTTATTAATTTACCAAACGAACTAAACCATTTAAACTCTGTCCCGGGAGTTGAAGAAAGAATCATGACGCCTCAGGATGAAAGCCCAGATTCTTCAGAAGTCACGAGGCCAATGCACCTTCTAACAACCAGAGCAACAATTTTCGTAGGAACATGGGACTTCCGGACAATGTGGGACACTGGAAGGACCAGTCAAATACGTTCTATTCAGGAAGATTCGGAAGGAAGAACAAGTGCCGATGGACTGGAAAGAAGGACACCTGACCAATATATCAAAGAAAGATCTGAGCAAATGTGGGAGCTACACAGAAACCACATTACTATCGGTACCACGAAACGTTTTCAATAAAGTGTTGCTGAACCAAATGAAAGACTCAGTAGACGCCCAACTGCGAGATTAAAAGGCTGGATTCCGTAAGTATCGATCGTGCACATCCTAAATTGCGACGCTACGGAACATCGTTAAACAATCAGTTGAGTGGAACTACTCACTATAAAACAACTTCATAGACTATGAGAAGGCGTTTGACAGTGTGGATAGGTGAACCTTAATGAAACTTCTTCGACACTATGATGTACCTGAGATCATCAACACAATCCGGAATTCATACGACGGATTAAAGTGCAAATTCGTGGGTGGAGAACAGCTGACAGACGCATTCCAGGTGAGGAGCGGAATTAAACATGACTGCTTACTTTCTCCCTCTCTCTTTCTTCTGGTGTTCGACTGGATTATGCAATATCTGACTGTTATTTGATGAACATGACACTCAGAAAGAAATGCTTTCTCGTTAATTATTTTTATATAACAATTTGTAGGCAAAATTATCACACTGATTGTACCACTTATTTCTCAAGTAAATCACTCTGTTTGTTTTCGTTGTATTGTACAGACTAGATTATTGTCATTTTTGCATCATTTATATCTAAAACTTCATTATCACCATATGCTTTGTCTCGGTAAACAATTATTTCCAGTTATTCTCCGGAAAACATGTTTGATATTGCAATTGACGTTGGTCGTTATTCAGAATTTATACCGTGGTGTAACCAATCAACTGTTTTGGAACAAGGTGAAAATAACATGCTAGCTTGTCTGGGTGTTGGATTTCCTCCACTTAGTGAATCATACATGTCTCGAATAACGTTTCAGCGACCGAAACACTTAAAGGTGAGTGAATATTTATTTGTTTGTTCATTGTTGTCTATGAATGAATATGAGGAATATAAAGTGTAGGGTGTTCATTCCAAATGAAGATTGTTCAACTGAGGGCAGAGTTTAGACGGTTTAACTTGTTTATTCTAGTTGCCGTTTTTCGGCACGGTTGTTTTCCACGGGATGGGGTTGCTGACTCTATGCCCAACCCTCCTTCTTTACTCGGGCTTGGGACCGGCAGTAACCCGAGAAACGCTAAAGGCGATGGTTGACTGGATTATGACGACCTCGACATCTGAGGAGAAGCAAGGAATACAATCGATAGAGCTTGGATGCAACTAGACGACTCGGATCTACCCCTTCTATCCCATACACATCAACAAATGCAGGTTAAGACAAGCAGTGTTGCAGCAGCCTCTGCCTCAGTAGGCATCAACATACACAACGGAAAAAGCAAGATCCTCAAATACAATACGACCAAATCACACTTGATGGAGAAGCTCTGGAAGAGATGGAAACTTCCACGCATCTGGGAAGCATCATTCATGAATGAGGAGAATTCGATGCAGACGGAAAGGTGAGGATTGACAAAGCAAGAATCGCATTCCTACAATTGAAGAACACATGGAACTCAAAACAACTGTCTGTCAACAAATATCAAAATCACAATCTTCAATACGAACGTCAAGATAGTTATGCTGTGCGGAGCTGAAACTTGGAGAACTACCACGACTATCATCAAAAAGGCACAGGTATTTATGAACAACCATCTACATAAGATATTCAATGTCCGTTGACCAGATACCATGAGCAACAGCCTACTATGAGGAAGAACAAACCAGCTTCCATCTGAAGAGGAAATTAGGAAAAGGTACTGGAAGTGGGTAGGATACACATTGAGGAAATCATCAAACTGTATCACGAAGCAAGCTTTAATTCGGAATCCTGAAGGGGAACGGAAAATTGGAAGACTAAAAGACATACTGTTTCGAGAATTGGAAGCAGATATGAAAAGGAAGGATAGTAACCGGAAAGGATTGATCAGGACCGAGTTGGATGCAGAATGCTGGTGGATGGCCTATGCTTCTTCCCGAGGGATAACATGGGTAATTTATTAAGCAGATAAGTAAATGCAAATTGATGTAGTCGGCTTTGAGCCACAGTTTATGTAATAGAGGTCGAACACTTTAACCGTTAGACTACAGGTCCATAAAATTTCAATCAGGATTCCATAAGCTCTATCAATAATACTATATGAATATTATTTATTTAGTCATAAAGTCGAATTTGTGTAGTTGACATAAAACAAACACAGGATTAGAAAGAAACCACTAAGGCTACTACTGACTGTGACTAACTTTTGATTAACTATGTTAAAGTAGACTGGAGTATTTTTAAGATACCAATAAATACCAGTCATTGAGATGAAGCATAATGGTTAAGGCATTTTATCATTCTGTAGTTAGTTCAAACCTTGTCCCAATTAATTAAATTTGAACGGTCACACAGTACCACTGAGCTTCGTGAAAAAGTGCAATTTTAAGTCGAACACATATTTTTACTGATGGACTAGATCCAAAAATACTAGGAGTCAAATATAAACGAAAAATCAAACATAATTATAATTTCAAATATAGGTGGTTCAAATGAAATGGTTCTCATGTTTCAACTAGAATTAGTGATGAATCTTAAATCACAACGATTACCAGAATCTCTAGTCCTCTGAACTTAAGGCCTAATACCATTGAGCCATTATTGTAAGAATGATTTGGTCATATTGTATCTTACTATGTATAGGTTTTTTGTGCTGGTCTTTGTGACGGATTAGGTGAGTACGGACTTAAACCTAAAAATTAGTGGTCGAAAGAAGTGTTTTAATTAATTCATTTGATAACAGACCTATGCTTTGTACAGATGTATTAGGAATGCTGGGGATATAGTGTTATTAAAGATAATATACCTAGTAAAAGTGCTGTACACCCAACAATCAGTTAAAAATAGATTATGGCAAGCTGACTAACTCGCCCATATTAACTTAAAAAACACAATGTATTTCAGCAGTCATCATTTTAGATAGAAGCATGCAGCTAATATAAACCATATTTCCGTCCTAGATCTTGAAAGTACAGAAATATAATAAGTATACGACCAACACATTTCTAATCACTTTCCAAGTGGCAAATAATTGTTAGGTCTAGTAATTCAAAACCTTTGTTGAATGTCTGATTCAACATCGAAAAAACGGATATATCGGTATAATTGTTTGTTTAGAATTTAACCGATAAGGTTTCGAGAATTATATGGTATTTACCTCAGACATTGAGTAATGTATACTGCTCTTGATTATTTCAATATGAATTTAATCTTAACAACTTAACAAAAAGTACGCAATCCACATTAACTCGAAAGCATTAAATTCACTATAGGTTTACCTACCAAACTGTTTGATGAATACTGCTTCCGAGTTATCTAGTTCTTCTGACTCGAGCTGACTAGATTCCACTTTCGTGGGTATGTCTGTTAAAAATCCATCAGGGAATACGGAGGAATTAGCAGCATTTGCTGCTGCAACAATAGGCTCGTAAAGTTCTCGTTCACCGGCATCGCGTTCTTCAGGAGATTCTAACGGATTTTTATCGAATTCTGCTTCAATACGCGTTAAAATAGGTTTAATCAAGTTCCAAACACGAGAAATTACACGATGGTGCAGCAAAGTTGGCAAAATTAAACAAATATTGAGAGCTATGTAAGCTAAGGTTACGCCGGAAACATACATGCTAAGTACGATGCATCCAATGCTAATAGTGCTTGAAATAATGAAAAACTAAAAGAATATTAAGGAAAGTATATAATTATTCATCAGCATTAATTGAATAACACATCAATATACTGGAAAATGGATGTGTTAAACAATAGGATGCTATCAGCAGTTCCAAAACCATAGCTTTAGATATAACTAATCTAAAAGCTGAAGCTCAAGTCAATGAATCTTTCCGTTTCAACAATTTTGAGTACATAACTTAAAACTTCAAGTCTCTTAATTGATACTAAAGGAATCATGGTTTGATGCTATTTTACTATTTATCAAGATTTTCTATCGATGAGAGTAACAAATTGTTACGAACGAAATATGAATTAATCATCTCCTGAGACTAATGATCCCAGATCTGTGGTATAACAAACAGTAGCTCATCAAACACCCAGTCCCAAGTAATGTTCTTAGTGTATAATCAAGTAATGACAGCCGACCAAACCGCAGTAAGTGGGTTGGAGTTTGAACTTGTGACTTATTGGTTGAATACTGATTGTTTTAGTCATCATTTTATTATTCAGACTTAAAGAACAGATTTTTAATAGATTAGGTAGAGTCAAACTGTAGGACTGATGAACGGTTGAATTGCGGATATGACCATCAACGACATATGATACACACAATGATTAAAAAAATCATGTTTTTCATAACCATGCAAAAATCTCATTGATTTGTCTCTTAAGTATGATGAAGCACTCTAAGTAGGTGAGACCACAAAGTTGAAATTACTCTTTTCTATTCTCCATTTTATTGTCGACCAAGTTAGTATAGCTCTTTGTGTAGAGAAGATTCGTGAAACGTTACCTTTATTTATTTAAACACATAAACATTGGTACATGGAGGCACCAAATAGATTAGTGCCATATAAACCATTCGATTTGTGTAAGGGCTGGGATACTGCCCGGGTGCCCAAACCGAAGCAGGGTTACCTTAATTAACGGATAATGAATGCATGGTCGTGCAAAATTTAACTCCAAACAAGTTATTAGAAATGGAAATGTATGGTTAAGAGAAATAAACATGCCAATACAAAGTATGGAAATACACATTATAGTAGTGTTCGGGATGTGCAACCTCCAATTCTGTAAAATGTTGGGAAATTGAGACATTTATTGACAGTATAAACTGTATCAGAACCACCCTTTATTGATGATATATGTATAACTAAAAGTAGCACAATCGAAAATATGACAAGAAAGGAATTTAATGCTTTCATTAATTAATAGTCAGTATTTCCTGACTACTCACATAGAATTAGTTCAAAAATATTAAATCGTTTGTCAAAAAAATAAGAAAGTCGGGTTGTTAAGACAGCCCCCTGTGATTTGCTTTTGCCCTCGTAATGTGAAATGGTTATGCATAAGGAGCTTGCTTTCTAAGAACTTTTAGAGGTATCTCAGACAATGAAAACATGATGCGAACAGTGTATTGCCACAAAGGAAGAAACTTAGACAAGGTAAAATCGACGTACTCTAAGTTGACTAGAATAGTTTTTATTTCATCAGTTTTTGAGTTATTGGATGAAATGAGTATAATTTAACTTAGAATTTAATGATAAAACTCGAAATGATATCACGAGAAACTACTACTATGCCAAACTTTTGTTATAATTTTAGTTCAGAACTTGAAAAGGAAGCCAAAAGAGGAAGTTTAGTGTTGAAGGTCGTTATAGGAGGAATAGTAGGAACTGAAGAGAGGTTGATTATGAGTACAGTGGTCATGAGTGCTGTTATAGGTATGAGGGCGGTTATCACTTCCCGGTTGCCCACACCGTGGAAGGGTTGTTCTGGAGGTACCTGAAAAGGAGATTGAATTAAGGGTGGTTTTAGTGACCTGAGAGCGTGACCGCAGTGCCCAAGGGACAACTGCTTGTGGTCGGTTACGCACGACCTTTTTATGGGTAATTTTCGTGTCAGCTCCGTACTTGTTGAGACCTTACCGCCGGAGACGGATATCCACGGGATAAGGCGAGATGTGCATTTTTAGGTTAGACCTTTTCTAACCCCACCCCTCCTTGTGGGAAAGCAGCATCGCTGTCATGCTGGTTGTCTGAAGGAAACACGTTACTGCTGCCACACATCTGTACAGTCAGCAGTACGACTTCGCCTTTGGATCTTGGGTTTGTTGCTTTTAGCCTTACCGCTCTTCAGCCGACCAGTCTGGCATGGTAAGACCTCAAGTAACGATTGTTCCAGCCAGTATAGCTCGGTTGCTTCATCACGATAGGCAAGCCCGACCACCACGTCAAGGTAGCAACAACGGTCGGGTATTTTAATTCAAGCTGCTAACTTAAAATTTGCTGAGGATAGAACTGAATTAGTGAGATGTAGGACACCCCAAAAAAAACCATAAATCTAATCGATAACAAAAGAATATGAAAGTTAAGAATGCTCACCGAGAGAGGATGATTTCGATGACATGGGGCAAGCTTATTTGCGATATTAAGTGCACCATAGAGACAGCCAGATATCCAATGGCTAAGATCAGTGGTAGACATGATGCTCCCATTTTCCAAACAAATGGAAACAAGTTCTGAGAACGAACCAGATGAACGCTTAGAATCTAAAGCAGGAATTGAGAATTTTTTATACTTCATCCCCTTCTTAAAGGAATAGATGAATTTGTAGTTGAAAAGTTGTTTGGAAATCACAACAAAAGTTTAAAACGTGAATTAACAGTTATCGCCTGATACTTAAATAGTCACAAAATCGCTATCCTAAACAAATTAATTGAGATGTGTCACATTTGGGTGGAGAAACCAGGCAGGTTACTTGTGAAGTATGTATGACATTTTACTCCTATATCCAATGCTGATTAGAATAGGACTAAACTAGTAAAACAAAATTGACGTAGTTAGAAAAAGATATGGTATTGGTATACGAATATGCTTGTTATTAATGAGTTGTGTATGGAGCAATTTCAACGAGTTTGCCAGAATCCTCAGGATGATTTGTTAGTCAACAAGATGATCTAGGTACTGATAGATCGTCGATCACAAAAGTTGATAACGTTTACAACTACAGATATATCCACTTTCTGTTTTTCAAATCTTGAACATTTTATTACACGCTATTTCTTTATATCACTATTGTTTGTCTTCTTATTTTTACTCGAGCTCCCAATTTTGGGGAAGCCACTATAGTAAACTTTGGGGAATAAGTATACTTATTCCTTTTCGTACTATGAAAAGGCGTGAAAACTAAAACCAATCCAATATCGTAGAACTTTGTCGAATGTCGTCAAGAAATAGTTGCCGCATAAATGCTGAGTCACATCTCTTTTTGTAAACACCATAGTAAGATGGGCAAAAAAGGGCAACGTAGGGTCTATGTCATTGGCAAATCTATATGTCGACCAATAAATAGCCTAGTACCATCAAACATCACCGGATGTGACGCAGGAGTTTATCACATGAAAATCGGTTGGGCCTATGATAGGAACAAATGAGATATATAATCCCTCCAAAAAGTAGTGTATATGCAAACCACAAGCAATAACAGTAAATTCCTAGATTATCAAGTACGATGAGGAAATTTAAATTTTTCAGTCATCTAGATAAATAAAATGCAACTTCTCAGTAATGTACACTGATTTAATTGGATGGACAGTTGTTTGCAAACATACAAGATGTGGCAGGGATCTCATAAAGCCATTCAAATGAAACCGTTGATAACGAAAACTTACAAAACTCCTTAGGAAAATGTTAGTCATTACTAATGAAAAATGCTTATTCTAGTACATTTAACATGAAGAACAGCATCATCAGAATGGCAAACTTCAGCGAAATATGGGCTACGCTAGGAAACTTTCCCCTCCATCTAGAGTGAGAAGTTAAGTCAGTAACAGATATGAACGATCTTGACTACGTAAACAATCTCAGAACCCCATATATTCCAAGAAAATCAAATACATAACATACAAATTTTGCAAACACGTACCTAGAAAAAGCCTTGCCATTAGTGGTTGTAAGAGGTTGCATAACAGGACAAGAAACAACACCAGACAGGAAATAAACAGTGTACTGAAGTTGCTTTTTACAAATGATCTATAAATAATGACTTGTAACTAAAAACTCACAAGAACACAAGGTGTACGAATGCTGTGAAAACAAGACTTGGGACCACACGCTCCCACAGAAGTATTGTCTGGATGCGAAGAATTATGAACTCCCATTGACTTATAACACTATAGACATCATAGAAAAACTTATCATGGGGACTTCGCATAGTGATATTCACTTTTTGGTAGATTAGTAATTAGGCCGGGGGAATGTGGCTGCTGAGAGAGTGTAGGGAAGTGTGATTCTGAGAATCTGGAAGAAAGAAGAGCAGGAGGAAGAGAATTCAGTGCATGCGATATTTACTTATTTATTTTAACACCTAAACATTGGTACAAAGGGGCACTTGTTGTGCTAATGAGGTGTGGCAACTTGGACTGATACATACATGTGCCTAGTCATACGTTGTAGCTGGCTGACTGACAAGGAAACACGAAACAAATGCGCCAGTAGTAGTTATCACTGATTTGTGTGAAGAATTGGATACGGTCAGGGTGCCCAAACTGAGGCAACTGGTTTTCTTAGGAGGCCACTACCCGAGCCTTTGACCTAGAGGTTTAATCCACAAGACAGTAGAGCAACGTAAGGAGATACAGTCCCATGGTAACCGGTGTCCAACAATAGGTTCATACGCCATTTCTTCCCTCGGGATCCTGAAGCCCATGTGAACCATTGGTTTGAAATCAGGGTTTTCCAACTCCTCTAGATGGGTCCTCCCTATCTATCAACCAGGGTAAAGCTCCAGAGATTCGCTTTTTGTCCCCTCAATTTCGTAAACAACAGTGGCTGCATACGCATGACCACGTGAGAGAATTTCAAGAGGAAGAGTTGACACTCCACACCCTAGGGTGGACAAAGCTCTGCCGTACCAGGGCACTTGTAGGTATACATATTGTACACATAAGATGCGGTAAAGTGGTGAGACTATAATTCATGGACGACCTTTGAGCGACGCCGAAGTGACCTTGAGAGTGTCTACCTAATTGTTAGGGATGAACGAGGGTTACAAAGCAGTTTGAAGAATAAGGATTATGATTCATAGTTGATGGTTGGGGTTAGGAATTAAATCAGTTTTTCATCACTGACATCAGCTAAAATGCCAAGATGCTATTTGGCCAAATGAGTGAGTAACCACTGATTGCATTCACATATTACATCCCATCTTCAACAAGAAAGTAACACGTGGCTCACCCATGACTTTGTTTTATCATAACTGCTTATAGGATAACATTTGGGAGGATACAAAACACGAAGACGTACGCCCCGAAACAATAACCATTTAATAGTGGGTAAAGAGCTTAAAAACGCTTAAGCAAAATGCTATTTAAAATGTAAGAATAATCAAACCGCTTGAAAAACAACAGAAGCTGGACAAACTTCGGCTAAACTACTTTTAGCTGGATATGTAGGATTGAACAAGGCACAAGACAGGTGCCTGTCACGGACTAAAATGACCTCAGTTCATTTTGCACGACCCTGAAGAGATTTCAGATTCAGATTTGTGTATTAAGGACAGAAGGCCTAGGACCTATATTATTCCTTTTCCAGTATGCTTCTGTGAGTGTCTAGTCTTCCCTTAAATGAGTCAATTGATGGTGCGGACACTACTGCTTCGTGTAATTGGTCCCAAGAATTGATGACTCGGTTTGAAAACCTATATGCCGCGACTATTTTCTTCGTTCTTGGCTTTTATGCTCACATGTTATGTTCTCTGAGATGTTTCGAAAAAGAGAGTATACATCAGGTCCAAAATCATTTCATTACGTCAAAATCAGATCACCTCATAATCTGCGACAAGATAGAGTAAATAGGTCTAGCTCGTACGACCTGGTAAATGTTACTGAGCCCTAGCCAGATCATTTGAGTCACCGAATATCGAACGGATCATAGATCCTTGTCAAAGTCAAGGACAACAAACACGCATCAGTTAATCGTACGCCACGTACTGGCCCATGCGTTGGTGGTCACACTTTTGCTTGTACCTACTTTAAATGATATATTTCTGTAATAACGTCGTTTGTGTTTTACGATCTTCAAAGCATCCATAGTACCTTGATACGACGAAGAGGTAATCCATGTTAGGTGCTGACCTCGAGGTGTGACTTCGACATTGGCTGTTGGTCACACCATTCCCGCCCAACTCGAGTAGGCCCCCAATCGTTCGACGGAGATCATCTAGGTTGGTGATCCACACTGGTGAGCAAAACTTCGAGTGACTCAGCCTATCATCATTATCTTTATTATTGCACTGTATACATATTCTTTTTCATTTTTATCATCGCCTATGTTAACCTGTAGTGGCATTGGACAATAGCCACACAATCCACAAAGCTGTGAACACGAGACTACTCAGAAAATAGATATTCAATATTTAACGCGGAGAAATACCTAGAATGAAGAAGGCGCGAACAATGAATTGAATGGACTGGGGTTGATCGAGTGGCATGGCTCGGCCATGCAGGCGTGGTCTCTATTCATATTAAATATATTGTTCTTTCTCTAAACTTAACCTTCTTATACATCATGTATTGGTAATTGATACGATACAGTGAGTTGGCGTAGTCGATGGTGTGACTTCCACGTAAGATCTTATAGATTAGGCAGTTATATCATGACGAATCTACAAGTTTAGGATTAGGTCTATTATTAGAGCAGTACTAATATCATAGTAGACCATAATTCTACATTGGTAAGCCCGACTAGAAAAACGCAACCTATTATTAATCCTTATTTCCACTTCAACTTTCTCGATCGATTTTATATTTATGTTAACCCTGTATTCCAATAGTCCTCTGATTAATGCTCACATGCATTATCGTAATGTTATATTGATTAGTCCTCATGACAAACTAGCTCAATCGATAATAAAAACTGGTCGTCTATATTAACTAATTAGCTTTGATGATTTGATAACAAGCTGTAATAGCATTTACATGCTTCAGCGACATAGTCTTGTTTAAACATCAAGCTCTAGCAAATATGACCTGTAAATAGCGTAAATATACATTGACACAATGCAATCAAGGACTAAATAGTTATCTGGATCTAATTCTCACTGTTCCTTCACTTAACACCTCATCCTGTTTTAAACTACGCACTATCCTGTAATATCTTTTCTTCCGACCACTGCCTGCCTAATTTCATATTCTCGAGTTCCATTGCCAAACAACGAGGATGACTACTCCAAAAACATACGGTGAGTTTCAGCTATAAGTTTTCTGCAATCATTTTTAGATGGTTCGTTCAATGACAACCATACAATTATCTGGATTCATTCGATTGTTCTGATCCGAGCGAGTGTCAAAAACCTCAACAGCATCAAGCACCCTGGAATTAATTGCCATACTGCATGTTTTATTCTGGATGCTTTTGGATCATTACTACTCCTCACGAATGGCGTTATATATGTCGTCCACTGAATAATCTAATTTTCAAAAATAATCAAGATGGTTCGTTCAATGACAACCATACAATTATCTGGATTCATTCGATTGTTCTGATCCGAGCGAGTGTCAAAAACCTCAACAGCATCAAGCACCCTGGAATTAATTGCCATACTGCATGTTTTATTCTGGATGCTTTTGGATCAATACTACTCACGAATAGCGTTATATATGTCGTCCACTGAATAATCTAATTTTCAAAAATAACCCAGGCGAGTTCAACTATTTTACTAGATGATTTTTTTTTACTTAACATGTAAATGTTTTCCGGTCCCTTTTGCTATGTATTTGTAAGTGTCCCTAGGCTAAATGCAGTAACTCCTTATGGAATGTTTATCACGCATCATATTCCTGCCTGAAGTTTCACAAGCAGTCTAAACTTTAAAACTATTTTCTGGTCATGTTCATTATTTTTAAATCGTCATATACGTCAACAACCTGCATGTTAACCTGGCCCATACATACGTTACACTATATCTCCATGTCTTCTAAATTTAGAAATCATCTGAATCGCCTTTAACATTTATCAATAAACCCATCATAGTCGTTGTTGCTAATCGTATTTGGGTTTATGGATTAGTTTATCATATTAGCAGCCTAAAATGCGAACATAGTTTAGATAATAATATTAAAAATTTAGGTACTGTCAACTGCACTAGTAAAATAACTAAATCATCAGGTAGTTGTTGGCTAAACAAACGTTTAAAAACAAAACTCCGTAGCCTGCTAGAATTAACACTAAACGAATATTTCTGAATTGAAATTTATAATTAAATTAGGCGTCTCGGATTCTTTAACGTTATAAGTTTCTGATGATTTCGAATCACCTAAAGCAACAATACCTATTTTTCCACTGACTAATCCTCAGTCAACACTATAACTAGTTAAATTTAATAGTTTCAGGATATCGTCATAAAGCATTGTCATAACTTGACAATCACGTAATATGACTGATAAAATTAATAAAACTATTAACGAAATCGGTCAACAAATTGACTTATAATTACCATTAAATGGTGTTGTTTTCTTGGTATCTTCATCCATCACAGATGATTACAGTATGTTTCTCTATCAGTTGCTCATTCAATAAATATCTCAAAACCTTTTCAGTCTAATTGATGGTTTAGCGACACAATCATGCATGCAAATAATCAGTATAAGCAGTCGAGCAAATCTCCTGTAAACTGAAAACATCAATGTCGAATTTACCCCAACACTGACTAAGGTTCAAGCCATTATCATAGACATGAGTTGGGAGTGTACTCCCCCTGGTTACAACTTATGTTCTCCCTGATAATCACATGATCATCACTCACTGTTAGTCATCTTGTAAAAGCTTATTTACGCTAAATACATCTTGCAGCACCACATCACTTCGTAATATGACACATAGGCTTAACTGATTTTAATAACTTATAACCACTATATCTCAATTAAATCGTATTCCGCCTTATGACAAACTGCATACTTGCAACTAACTTGTATGCACAATCAGCCGGCAAGTATAAATAAAAATAAATAGTCTATCGCAGATCAGAACATTGAGTCTAGAGCATGTCTCTTACGAACACACTCATGTTTAACGATTATTTCCTAGCTATCTGTCCAAAATCCATATAATTATCACTCATGTATTTAAATTTTATTTTGATAACCATTCATGTGTATTAGTAGTATTACTAAATCCTATCACGGTCAAGTAAAAATGAGGTTGAGAAAATCTCCCCGTAACTAAATAAACCGTATCAAACTAACTGGAACACTAGTTGGAATTCTTCTCCACGGTATACTTTTGTTCCTTCAGTTAGCCTACTAATACAGATGCAATTGGAATTCAACTCTTATGGACAACTTACCGGCATAATCGTTATCCGATTTCATAATTTGAACCAAAACTAATACCAATATTAACATTTCTACAATATTCATTATTTTAATATTTCTAAACACAAAATACTTACTACCTATACGTCAAGTTATTAACCAACGGCTATTAACACGCATTGTTTTATTATTATTACTGTAATCCCATTTTTTTTATAGCTCAAATAATCTTCACCCAAATTGTCATTTTAAGTGTGTTAAGCATGAAGGCAGATTTTTTTTAAAAAAAAATTATTACATGTATTTCCCGACCAGATGCTGCCGCCTTCTTTTTGAATTATCTTTCAGCTTATCATTACCCGGGGGATTCTTCCTAGTCTTGGTAACCTTCGGCGCACGACGATCCCATCCAATTTGGTATCGAACCAACATCACGTTGATTCTGGTGGGAGAGTAGTGTAGTGGCATTGGACAATAGCCACACAATCCACAAAGCTGTGAACACGAGACTACTCAGAAAATAGATATTCAATATTTAACGCGGAGAAATACCTAGAATGAAGAAGGCGCGAACAATGAATTGAATGGACTGGGGTTGATCGAGTGGCATGGCTCGGCCATGCAGGCGTGGTCTCTATTCATATTAAATATATTGTTCTTTCTCTAAACTTAACCTTCTTATACATCATGTATTGGTAATTGATACGATACAGTGAGTT